TAAAAATATGAAATTTAAAATACAAAATACGATATTTATCCAAAAATTAAAATTACGAAATACTTAAGGAGTTTAAACGACCTTAGGGCCCGAATAAATAGGAGTTCAAAATTACAAATTAGGTGCAAAGGATTTCGGGGTGTTACGGGAGGTTAGCTATTTTGTTAACTAGGAATTTTTTGTACAATTGATTTATTTTCTAACTTGCAGATAGAATTTTTGTTAATTATTCCATTCTATTCTTATTTACATTTTGCATTTTATGATTAATATTTAATCCTATAAAAACCCCCATCGTTACTTTTCATTCGTTGGTCAAAACAGTTATTCAGTTTTTAATTCCTTGTTGATTCGACCTTATTTACCATTGTTATAGATTTGTTTTATTGGATAATCAGGATTTTATTTTTGGTAGATTCGACACCCATCATTTGGGGGTGTGAAATTTTTTCTTATGAGTATTATAAAATTTATGTTTTCTCTATCAATAAAATTTTGAGTGCTTGTTTGATTATATAGTTTATTCTCTTTGCAATTACAATAAAATTAAATTGTTAACATCTACTATCAGAGCATAAGGATCGAGTGATATGACTTTAAGTTCAACAACAGAAATCTAAATTCAACAAGTGTAGTCATTAATTTTAAAGTTTGATGGCAAAAATAATTTTACAATGTGGAAGCACTTAATGGAGCTATGTTTGAGAAGTAATGGTTACAATGAAATTCTAGATAATGGTCTTGTTGAAAAGGAAAAGTCGTCAGCAGCTGGATTACAAGATTTGGAATGCAATCGTTTATTAAATAAGAAGGTTCTATTTTTAATTTGTTAGTCTGTGGAGCTGTTAGTCCTAAAAAAATATTTCATGCTAAAAGAGCGAGAGAGGCTTGGAATATTTTGCTCAAAATATATGAATGTGCAGATCCAGTCAAACAAACACAGCTGCAACGATTGAAAAGATAGTTTGAGCTAATGGAATAAGGCAAAGACGAAAGTATTTGTGATTATTTTTCATAAATGGAGAAGTTAATAAATGAGATAAAAAAATAATGGAGATCAAATAAATGAAAGAGATGTCATGGAGAAGATCTTACGTATATTTTCTAGTCGATTTGTTTACCTAATGATAGCCGTTGAAGAGTCTAAAAACTTGAACACTATGACCTTTAATGATTTACAAATTTGTTAAAGTCACGCGAGATGTGGATGAATGAAAGGTCTTTAAGCATAATAGAACAAGCATTAAAGGCTAAAGTAAATTTAAAAGATGAGAAGGAAACGCCCATATTGAAGAATAAAAGAGCTCAAATTTTGAGAAATAGTGAAGGAAAAAGTTTCAGAACAACTTCAAGACAAGGAGCAGCAGAGAATCAATTTTCTCAAGGTAAGTCTCATATCTAATGTCATGAATGGAAAAAATATGGTCACTATCAATATGAATAAAAATTATTTATTCAGTACTATAATTACAAAGGATACGATCATTATAGTAGAAAGTGTCATGCAAAGAGACTATAGCATAAAGATAAGCATGTTGTGATAGCCAGAATGATAATATAGAGACTTTATTGCTGGCAACTCATGAAACTAGTGGAAAGAATAATTGTCAATGGGTATTATACTCAAGTTGCAGGAATAATATACTGGAAACAAGGAAATCTTTTCTGAATTAGATGAACCCACTCCTTCGAGTCCAAGTTCTACTAGAGATGTCGTACAAGAGTCAACTGCTTTAGAATTAGTTTCAAGATAAGTAATTAGTTTAATAGAAATTTGTGAGTCATAATTTCGGGCTAATTGAGCTATAAAGCTTTGAAGAAACTAAGAAGCAACCATAAAGATGGGATGAAGAAGATGATGTGAAAGGGGATGATTTTGAAGAAAAACAAATAAAAGATCAAGATAAGAACCAAACAAGAGAATCCGTTCATGTCCAACTTGCTATTACAACTACATAGTATCATGAAAAGGCTGAGGAAATTTCAGCACCATCCGTACACAACAAATTTATGAGAAAGAGTAATGTGAACTAATTTTCTTGACTTCCAATTGGGCACCTATTTAAATAGATGAGATTGAACATAAAGTAGAAGATGAAAATAAGAAAGATGACAATCAGAATGGACTATCATCGATCAGACTTATTCTTCATAGAAAACTAAGAGAAACTATTGATATTCAACCAGTACCCGTGGGCACTACAACGTATCAAGAAATGTTAGAAGGATGTCTAGCTAAAGAGGAAAAAAAAAGGAATGCAAATTAAAGGAAGCATTATACAACATAAGACAAACACCAATAGCATGAGACAGTCAGATAAATAATTACTTCGAGCAGATAGAATTGAGTGACGAGTCTACTTTATGTGTCAAAGAAAAGAAATTAAATGTGGATATTGTTGGAATACTTAATTCATTTTCTTTAACAAAAAAGTGTAACGGCAAAGATGGCTGCAGGAAGTACAAAAAAAAAAAAGAAGAAGAATTTAGAGCATCCGAACAAAGGAAGAAGGAAAAGAAGAAAAGAAAATGAGGTAAATGAAGTAGATATATTTATTAAGTTAAAAAAATATTGGGAATAATCAAATCAAGTTTAAAGGAGGATGTTAAAAAATTAAATTTAAAGTAATTAATGTTGAAAATTAAAATTTGAATTAATTAACAATAAAGAGGGGAAGGTGAGGCTGCAAGGGGAAGGTGAGGCTGCAACAGTAAAAAAAAAAAAGAACAACAATAATAAAGAAAAAAAATACAAAACGAGGGAATACAAAACGGTAACCTTTCTGCTTATATATATATATATAGTTTTGAGAGAAGAGAAAATACAGACTATATTATAAGGTTATAAACAAAATATCTCTTTTAGTTATTTCCTGGCGGTCTTGGTCAAGAAATTGCATCAAGTCCTAAACAATTTTATAAGATTATAAAATCAATATATTTATATATATTCGTCGTATAGAATTATTCATATTCACCATCTTTTTGAAAATATATACTGGGAGGAAATATATGTAACATGCATGCACATGTGCATCAAAATCAAAGCAAGCATAGCAAGTTTAATTGCGTACACACAAGCAAAAAGAACATAAAAGCAGGATGTACATATATGCATATTTAAACATGACGAATTTATGACATATTATATATATATATATATATATATATACACTTATAAAGAAAAAGGACATCCATGTACCATTATATATATATGTACGATCAATTAATATTTAGAGACTATGTATAATTCGAAATCATAGGTTTAAGTTGATAAAGAAAATTTTAAAATATGGATAAATAAATGTAAATTTTACAAGTTAGTTTTATGTTGGATTTAATTATATAAATTTAATTTAAATTTAATTTCATTATAAATAAAAATAAGAATGAAAATAAATATATAAAAGCTTAAATATATTGAATGGTATTTTAATTGTAAATTAATTTTATATTCAATTTAAAAAAATATATTTTTATAATTCATTTATTAACATATGAAAATATAAATCTATATCAAAAATAAAATTAATTTTATTATGCATCAAATATCTAAATTAAATATTAAATAAATAAAATTTGTGATTAATGAAAATCTGATTTGAGAATAACTTTTATGATTGAGTTCTAGATAATATGATTATATAAATAAATAACATTCCCTTATCTTGACCTTCTTCTGTCATTGAATTGGACCTTCTATTTCTAGAATCAAGATAATATAAAGTATTGTGACCATTATAAAATCCGACGGTCCATATTGAATTAATCAACTAGATCTACAGATGAAGACTTTGGGCCTCGGCTACTCTACGTCGTCCATCATACGGTCTCCGTTAACTATTTCATTCAAATCAGACGGTTTAGTAAAAATTAATTGTTACTTTTTGGGAAGAAAGAATCTCAACGTTGATCGAAAATTAGGAAAATGGGTCATTTTTTGTTATATTAAAAAAATCGACCATTTCGAATAAAAAATAAGATGGAATACCGTATTTTTTGATCTTTTTCTTAATTTGTTATTTTAATTTTCTGTTTAGAATGTCCTGATAAAATTCTTCAACCAATAACAAATTGTATGTAAAAAATTATATATATAATGATAATATATTTGAATTAATGGCCTATTTATGTATGCTGGACTAAAAAAATTATGTCATCTTAGCTTATTAGATCTGAAGTTTCTCAAGCTCAAGTATTTACCTTCACAGTTAGAGAGCAATGTTTTGGAGCAACAGATTTAGGTAAATATTTAATACATTTCACTATCGGATAAGTTATTTTTGAAGAAAAAACTATACATTTCTCAAATCTGCATGCTCATCGGTTAGAACCTCTTAAGGGATCTTAGTTGTTTGGACTTCAGTAGGTTGAAAAAACAAATACAGTCTTATCAAGAATTTTGTTCTATGGAATATATCACTCATGCCCTTGTGAATTCTTCAAATTCTGTATGTAGCATTACTAATGCAATCAAGTTTATTTTTATAAAAAATTCGTGAGTTATCTTTTATTTTGTTCTAGAATTCGTTTTATTTATAGGTCATTTATAATAGGTAGAAAGGGATTGTGTTGTTAAACTAATTTAATATATAAATTAATTTTTTAAAAATTCATATTTTTATTTTATCAAATCGTTTGTTAATCAACTTATCAAGAATGGTTACCGAATGTTTATATAAATTCGAAAATAATTATTTAAATGTGGAAGAAAAATAAAACAACACTTTTTTTTAATAATTGTATTTGAACAAAGTTCAAAGCAACTTCACATCGCTTTCTAACTTTTCAAACATTCAGCCTGAAAATAAACAATAGTGGAAATTTTGAATATATATATATAGATACATAATTTTGTGTATTCACATTACGGAAATTTCCTATATAAAGACCATGCATTTCTTCCATTTGGTTCACGTATAGCACATTTACCAAGTTCTTCTTCAAGAAACCTCTCTGCTTTATAATATCAAGACTTTCAAATTGTATTAAGTTTGGAAATGGAGATGATCAAAACGGCAAACAAATCCTCGTTTTGCATTTACATCTTCATTGTTTCTCTTCTACTTGTCTTGCATTCTTGCCCGGTAGCGTCTCAAGAAGTTGATGAGTTAATTAAGTTTAATTTCTCTTTTTTGCTGTTTTATCACAATAAGATATATATAAACTAATTAAATATATATATATATATGTTGAAAATTATTATTTTTTGTTAATGTTAATTAATTTATTATTATTTTTTTTTTCAGAAAACGAAAGGGAATTTGACTACAATGAGAATGGAAAGAAGGGGCAAGCAGATGAGGAGAGATACACCCAGAATGGAGTTTTGTGTGGGAATGGAAAAATGCAGTCTCCTATTGATCTTTTGAGTGAGAGTTAAAATTGTATCTCACTTGGGAAAGCTTAACAGGAACTATAAGCCGTCCAATTCCACTCTCAAGAATAGAGGCCATGACATGATGGTATTTATATAAATATTCATATTATACATACACACATATGAGATATTCAACATACTTCGTTTAATGCAGGTTTAATCCCATTATATGTATATATATATATATATCTATATATGTATCCGCATGATAAAGATTAAATTTATAATTTAAAAGTTAGGTGACCAGTAAAGGTGCTACTGAAAGCTTTTTGTTAGGTGATGACAAGTGTTGTTAAGTAGTAGGTAAAATGTATTTGGAAACTAATCTATACAATAATTATATAACTTACAGTGCTTACTCTTATATATACGCAATATAAATATACCTATATATACGTTTATAACTTTTTTTTAAACATATATTTGGATTAATGCAGTTGAAATGGGAAGGTGGTGCTGGAACTCCCCAAATAAATGGAACCCAATATGTGCTTCAACAAGCTCATTGGCACTCACCATTTGAGCACACCATTAATGGCAGAAGTTGCAATTTGATTTCATAAATAATTCTTCTCATAATTCCCCATATATATCATATATTTATATTAAATGATATATAATAGCTATTTATGTAAAACTAATTCTTGAAATAATAATTTAAAGGTTTTATCTTGAACTTCACATGGTTCACGAGAGTAAAGATGGTAAAATCGCTGTTTTTGGTATCTTATACAAGCTTGGTCGACCTGATAATTTTCTCTCCTCCGTAATCATAATTTTTTATTTTGTAATATTAGTTATTAAATAAATTTACAATTAATTTTTATAAATAACTTATACTTATTTATTGGATTTGATTGTAAAGACCCGAAACTTAAAAGGAAATAAAATCATAAATTAAATACGGAAGCGAAATAATAGAGTTTATGATTTATATTTCTTATACAATAATTTAGAATGCCTAATAAGAATACGAGAATGTCTATTCTAAAAGAATAATGAAAATCAAAGAAATAAACAAAAGGCAAATAACTGAGCATTATAGAATGACCTTCACTAACTTTTGAAGGGAGTCTGGGTGGTGAACTATTCACAACCCTCTTGTTGATTGGGATCTGGATCTTCGTCCTCTCGATCTAAAATAATTAATAAAATGGTAAACTACACTTACCTATTAAGAATATCACACTACTCACCGATACAGAAACTAAATGTTGGTAAAAATCATAAAAACAACCAATGGAGCTCTTTACTTTCATTTATCATAAGGAAAACTATTTATTGCATATATTTACCATTGCGAGATTTTCAAAATTGATCTAGAGATAATAATTCAAATAACATTATAATCTCATATTCAAGTAAACTAGGACAAAAACTTCTCCTTTTTATTTTCCTACTAGTATCCCTGGGGGTCCATAGGGATGTCTAACTACGCGTGAACCAATATCTAAACTTGTCAACTAACTGGCCGTCCCTATACCTCGTCCGGTATGAGCACTAAAAATATCATCCCTCAATACCTCGTCCTGTATGAGGGTGAATAAGACCGTCCCAATACAAACCAAAATCCTTGGTTTACCTCACTTTTTTGGGATAGCTTCTAAGAAGCACTTGGTTCAGGATTGTACTTCAGCACTCACTATCATCTCTAGACTGATGGCTAGTCTGAATATACTATCCAGACACTCAAAGACATGTTGCACCCTTGTGTCCTGGACTTTAGCTATAACTAGTATGAGTATCTTTCCCTGTGTAAATAACAGTTATCATTCCAACATCAACATGGCTTTGTATGAAGCCTTGTATAGTAGGCCCTGCCGTTCTGCCACTTGTTGGAATAAATTTTGGAACCAGCATCATTTGGTACATGATTTCATCTAGGATACTATCGAGAAAGTTGCTATCATTCGAAGGAACTTAACCACCAACTAGAATTGCCAGAAAAGCTACGCCGACAACCATAAAAGACCCTTGGAATTTGCAGTTGGTGATAAAGTCTTCCTTAAAATCTTCCCTTACAAGGAAAAAATGCAGTTCGAAAAGACTGAAAAGTTAAGCCTCAATCATGTGGGACATTTTTAGATCATGGAATATGTCAGACTCGTGGCGTACTGCCTTGCTCTACCCTAAGAGCTTGCAGGTCTACATAATATTTTTCACGTCTCGATGCTCAAAAGGTACCACCCTGACCCTTCTCACATCATTCCTCGTAAGGAAATGCAGGTTCAAGCTGATATGACATACAAGGAACTCCCCACAAAAATTCTTGATTAGACTGACAAGGTTTTATCGATATTATTTTATTATTTATTTTTAAAAATAAATTTTCAGTAGAAAAGACAAAGAAAAGGGCAGAATGTATAAATCACTAAAATTATAAACAGATCATTAATTGCAAGACTTCCCTATACATTAAACTTACATGTAATACTCCTATAATTAAACAAAATTAAAACATTGATTAGTCATATATAAAGATATTTACATCTTCACTATATGATAGTGTTTAATTGTAATCAATCATTATGGCAAGAACTTTAATAATGTCATCAATTGAAGGCCTATGTAAACGATTATCCTCCAAGCTAGTCTTTGCTACAATGGCTAAATATAAGGCATCTGCCAGAGGATAATTGCCTTTAAAACAAGGATCCATGATGTTCTTTAGCTGCTCAAAACATCCTCCTCCTTCTTTTCTGCCTAAAATATGATATAATCGCTTAATAATTTCTTCTCCATGTTTTCTCTTCCCGAGATTAGCTCAAGCAAGACAATCCGAATGCTAAGATGTTTTCCTTTTTGAAGACAACTTGATACGAAACCCAAGATCAACTAACGTAATAAACAACTTCGCATATACATCAACAACCAGAAACTCAAAACCCTACGTAAACCCTCCTTACTTGATCTGCACTCAACAAGAAAATGAAAACCAAGGCAATAGGGATAAATTAATTAATTAGAATGCCATAAGAAAAATCTTGAAAAGTCAATGTGATTTGATAGTGTGCCTAAATCTACAAACAAGACTAACAAGAAAATATTTTACTATGTAATCTAAGAGTACATCACTAATAAATTAGCAAACTTAGTTATAGAGAGACTAGTAGAGTTTTTCTCAAATAAAAACTCTTTAGGATATATATCAAATATTTTCGAGGATAAATATAAATAATATACTACGAAAAACATAAACTATCCCCAAAATATAGATAAATATCATCAAAATTCAAGCCACATCAACAAATCTTTCTCTTGGCTTAAATTCCCTCTATAATCAAAGCAACTAGCAGTTTTGTCGCACTATCTTGCCAACATATCCCTACTGAGGCGTTATTGAGTATCACATACTCCAACCAAGTCTAGACCATGCTTTAAATTACTATTTGATTCTTGAACAAAGTGACATTTTCCATCAAGTTCTTCACATCCAACACCAATTATCTGATCTCCATCTGAACTCCCTAGTTCCTGCAAATCAACTGTTCTTGGAATTGACAAGTTATATGTAACCAGATTCTCATACTTCTATGGTTGTTTAATCTATCTTATCTCCCTGCCTATTGCAATAGTATATGATTGTTATTGATTAGGTGCACTATCACCTTCTTGATTAAGATCCTATACTTCATTCCATAGACCATTGGACTGAACTTCTAACTCTATTTGGTCTCTAACACCGTGAACTGATTCTACTATTGTCTTCTCCTTCTAACTGTGTAACACCCTAAAACTTTTGCACTTAACTATTATATAGAATTTCTATTTATTCGGACCCTAAGGTCATTAACTCTTTAAATTTATTTTTGGTTTTTGAATAAAATTGTGTTTAAAATTTAAAATTTTATATTTTTATGAACTAATTTATTTATTTATATATTTATTTATTTATTTTACTTATTTATTTATGTAATTGTTTATTTATTTTACTAATTTTGAAAATTTTTGGAAAAACAGAGAAGGAAAACGGCGAAAAAGGCCGCGATAAGTTTTTCTTATTCGCGCGAGCCCCTTGAGCAGTGTGCGCTGCCCTTGGGGGTCATGTGCTATCGTTTGGCCAGCGCACCGCTGCTGTTTGGGCGGCAAGCCTTTCGTCGTTGTGTTGCCATCGTCTCATTGACCATCTGTCAGTTGACGCCTTGCGTCGATCACTTTTTCCCTTCCCTCTCTCCTGATTTGTGCCACTTAGTAGAAATCTAACTGTCTCTCTTTTATATAAATAGGGACCTTCTCCACCACTCCTTCATCACTTCATCTTCATTCACCTAAAATAAATTTTAAAGAGAGAGAGAAGAAGAAAATGATAAAAAGAAGAGGAGTTAGGAAAAACTTCAATCTTTCGGTAAGAAAACTTAGTATTTATTTTTCACGTTCTAAGGAGTATTTTTAGATTAATAAAAAAGAATATTGCATGAATATGAGATGGCTCATTACGTATTTAATTATTACTATGTTTTAAATATATTTACATAAATATTCTATGATGTTGCAAGATTTGCATCATTCTAACAAATGAATAAATAAACATAATGAATATGGTGGCATGATAAGAAATGATGAAACATGATGTTATTTGAGGAATTTGTGAAAGGATTATGGATATTTTGCATGCATTGTATTTAAAATTAATATAATTCGTTTGGCTTTTTATCTCTGAGAGGTTTTGTTTCTCCCACATCTGGTTTGAAAAGATGTTAGATGACTGTTTCCTGTGGATGACAGCGTACCATCTGACGAGATTAATAGCATGATATGATCGTAGGGGTCACATTTGGATTTGTGCATCAATCTTATATTTCAATATATAAATCATTATATTTCAATAAAATGCTTGTGTCATTTACAGCAGTAGTTGAGAGTCCCTTCAGCCCTCAGTACGTTTGTGTCGAAACAGTTTCATGCGAAGGTTAATAAAACACTTAATAAAGATACAGTTGTGGTTGTGGTTAAGAGAAGATGGTACTTTTATTATCTCGGTTTAGGTAGATGTTATAGTTTTTTTTTTCTGTTCTTAATATGTTTAATGTTATTTATGTCTTGTTATGATATCTTGGCCACTTGTTTCTTTCAAGTTAAAAGATGATTTTCTTTAATCACCTAATTTATGTTCATCCATGAAAGCTTACGAGATAAGTCAACCTTATTGTGAAACTCGTGCTCTTCTTCAAAAGTTAATCACTTTTCAAACTTTAGTAACGTAGTTTCAATACTGTTTTCCTTACTTAGTTTATATAGAACTCAC